GTTGAGGATCTTTTTTGTGTCTGTTTCATGAGGGTTATTAGTAGTCTGTGGTTTTCTTATTGTCTTTGTTTGGTTTTGTTATCAGGGTAGTACTGGCCTCTAAAATGAGTTGAGAGATGTCCCCTCCTCTCCTATTTTCTGGAAGAGATTATATTAAATTGCTGTTATTTTTTTCTTGAAACTTTTGATATAATTTACTAGTTAAGCCATGTGGGCTTGTAGATTTTATTTTCAAAAGGATTTTATATAGAAATTCAATTTCTTTAAGAGATACAAGATTATTTAGGTTGTCTATTTCATTTTGACTACGTTTCTCAAGAATTGTTCTATTTTATCTAAGTTATTGCATTTAGGTGCATAGAGTTGTTTTGTAGTACAGTCTTGGATACTTTTAGTATCTTCAGGGTCAGTAATGATATAATGATATGTTCGCTTCCATTACTTATATTGGTAATTTCTCTCTCTCTCTTTGGTTTGTCATTCTTGCTAGAGGTCTTTTTGAAAAATAAGCTTTTGGTTTCATTGGGGGTTTTTTTCTCTCTTTTTTTCTGTTTCATCTGTTTCTGCTCTCACCTTTTTTTTTTTCCTCTGCTTGCTTTGAATTTGTTTTGCTTTTCTTTCTCTAATTTCTTAAATAGAAAGATTATATTATTAAGCTGTAACTTTCCTCTTTTGTAATACAGGCAGTTGTTGCTTTGCCTGGTAGTGCTGGACTGCAAAAATGACCAAGTAAGCTGAAATGGTGCAAAATAGCCTTAATAGAGAAAAAGTTTGATTTTTCCATGACTGCTAACAATTTTTGTAAATACATTAAAAACTCTCTTACTGTTGGTTATAAATATTTGGCAAATCAAAAAAGTAACCCATGAAACTAACACTTATATAACATATTGTAATTTAAAACATTATAGCTTTTGAGACGTGGAATGTTTTATTTGTTTATACAAACTTAATGAAAGTACTTTGAACTTTACATTGTGTGGAGCAAGCATCTTATCTATACATTGACAATTTGTCTTACTGCTTTCTAAGTATGGATTGGTTTCCAACAGTTTATCCTTTGTGCTCCTAATGTTGTGAACTATTTCCAGCTGTGCCTTTAATGTGAAGTTTTGTCACTGTCATTTCCTTTGGGACGTCTTCATCTTTTTGGTTGCTACCTCTTTCCTTGTTTCTGCCAATAAGATCACCTGCACTGAGTTCCTCTGGCTCCATGTCTAGAGCCTCCTGAAGGGCAACACCACACACATTTGCATGGGCAGCTATTTCTTCTATAACTCTGTTTATGTCGGATTCAAATTTCATTTCTCTTCTTTGCTGCACGTTCTTCTTTGGTGGCCAGTTTCCTCTTTTAATTATACATTTAAAAATGTCAGATGGATTTTTAAAACTGAGAAATGAGGTTTTGACACAACTACACCTTTTGCTGTCTGTGCATGAACTAAATAATAGATTCCCCCAACTATTGACAGACTTTGAAAGAAGTAATGGTCATTGATCACAATGCTCATCTGTTATTTACATAGTGATTTGTGGACTGAAGGGCTAGAAACAAAGTTTGTACTTTATGCAATTATTCACAGTAAATATATTCTAAAAATCTTTAGTTTTTAGTAACTGAAGTTTGAACAGTGTTGTTGAGGAACTGATATTACTTAGTTAAACTGTGGTAACTGGAATTCATGTATATTGGAATTACTCAAAGCTAGGGCTGCCCACATAAGCATTTATTGCTATAAATTTCCCTCTGAGCATTGCTTTAGCTGCATTCCACAAATTTTGATATATTGTGTTTTCATTTTTGTTCACTTTTAATTGCTGTTGTTTAATTTCTAAGTGTGTGGAGTTTTTCCTGGTACAGTTCTGTTTTTGATTTCTAGTTTAATTCCATTAATTTCAGAGAACATACTTTGTATGATTTAAATTCTTTGAATTTGTTAAGGCTTCTTTTCTAACTCAGTATATAGTCTATTTTTGTATCTGTCCCAGGTGCACTTGAAACAATGTCTATTCTGGTGTTTTGGGATGGACTGTTTTATAAATGTCACTTAATGACAGTTGGTTGATGTTGAACAGTTCTTTTATAATCTTGCTGACTTTCTACTATTTCTGTTGCTTGCTGAGAAAGTAGTTATTTTTTTACCTTTATTGAGATATAACTGACATATTGTGTAAGTTCAAGGTGTACAATGTGATAATCTGATACACCTGTATATTGTGAAATAATCTCCATCACCTCACATAATTACTTTTTTCTTCTTTTGGTGATAAGAACACTTAAGACTTACTCTCTTAGCAATTTTCAAAAATATAATACAGTATTGTTCTCTATGGGCACCATGCTATACCTTAGATCTCCAAGACTTATTCATCTTATAACTGAAAGGTTTTACTCTTTGAGTAATAGCTCCCCATTTCCCCATCCTCCAGCCCCTGGCAACCACCATTCTACTTAAGAGAGGAGTTTTGAAGTTCCCAAATTTACCTGCAGATTTGTCTGTTTCTTCTTTCAGTTTTTCTTTAAAGTGCTATTTTAACAACTATATGAAGTAGGTATTATCCTCATTTTATACATGACCAAACTGATAAATGGAGTTAAGTAAGTATTTCAAGTTCATACACCTTGAATGGGAGAGGCAGGATTTAAACCTGAGTATTTTGGTTTCAGAACCTACAGAACTGCCATATCATCTGGTCCCTAGAGGACAGGGCAGTAATATTATAGTATTCTTACCTTGAGAATCCTTAGAATATAAAACTATCATAAAAATGAAGGCCAGTATATTACGTGGTGTGTGTGTGTGTATATGCACATATCTGCTAATTTTTGCTCAGAGCAACTCCAGAATTTGGTTAAGGACTTTTTGTTGGTTCCATAATGGGAAAAAGATCCCGTCACACATTAGTACATTCTAACACTTTGCTGTTTACTTTTAGGCTTCACTGTGATCTCTTTACACATAGATGAGTGTACAAGTAGCATGAGGCAACGATCAGGTGTTGAATGCCACCTCTGAGAAAGGTCACAAGATTATAGTCTTATGATTTTAATAAGCACACTCTAAGCTAGCAACATTTTCCTTTCATTATGATCTCTTCGTAAAGTGGATCTTTCTTTGCACAATATTCCATCTTTTTGAGCTTAAGAACTATTGTACACCAGTAGTCAAAATTATTATTTTATTCTTTCATGCCTTATTTCTTTCCCTCTTCTTCAAATGTTGTTTTCTGTAAAACTGGTCTGAAAAGAAGGTTAGGCAAATCAAATTGTTGAGTGTTGCAATATTCTGAAAATTGAAACTAACTTTGCTGGTTGTAGAATGTGCAAAAGGTACTTCCCATTATAGAAGTATGATTTTCTTATTCTGCAGTAAAAAAAAAACTTAAATATTTTCAATTTTGTATTCTTCAAATAACTTGAAAATCCTACTCTTTTAATACATGATGTGAAATGTCTTAAGGAAGAGTTAAAACTTTGGATAGGTAAATGTTTTGGGGAAAATGTGCCCACAAAAGGCAGATACTCTTCAATCATCCCTTGTAGAATTCCTGTTTCTTTCTAGATACTGACAAACAAAAAATGATAGCTAGCTCCCTTGTAGCATTTATAGTGCTTTGAGGTTTTATTTTCTTTTTGAATTAAGATTTATTAAGATTTCTGAGACAGAATTTTTTCCATCATCTGAACTTTTAGTGTGTGTTTTATACCTATTCTTCTAACTCTTTCTGAAACTCTTTTATTGTATTATTTGTTGGAATTTTAAAGAGTTGCTTTAGTTTAAAGACATACAATGTCATGGTAGGAGAGTTTTGAGAGATTGTTGGAGTTATGCAACTTATTACTTTAATAGACATTTAGGAAAAGAAATCTTGGTACACATTCATATATACACAAAATAGGAGTTGTAATATTTTATGTGTTCAGTAAATATAATAATGCTGGAAAATGGATAACAATGGTAGTCCCAGTTAGAGTGACCTTCCATCATAGCTACACTGGCTGCAAGTACAGTGTTTGCATGGTCTCAAAGAACCTCTCTTACCTACCACACCACTGCTAAACCCTGAGCCCCAGTGTTTTCCTCAGTGTCATTATAATCCAGTGAAGTAAAGATGAAGTTATAACCATAAAAAAAAAATCACGCCTATATATATATTGATAGATCTGACTACAATAAAAATAGCTGGCTTCTATGTAATTTCCTATTTGTACCAAAGAGACAAAGGTGGAAAGTAATGATAGGTGACTGAGAGAGACAGCTTATCTGGTCTACAGTTCTGTTTTAATATAAATTGTAGATTGCTAATAATGGACACATCATTTCTTAGTGTAGATTTATCCTCTTTCTAATGTTTTCATCAGGGCTCTCAGCAAACATGCTCTTCTTCACTTGATTTCCCAGGATACTCTGGTTCAGTGGCTTCCTCACATAATATGAATTATTTAAATTAGTAAGAATTATTAAGGAGTAAGCCACCTTGATATTTTCCCCTAGTTCTCAGAATAATACACACAATGCCCCCCTGTTTTAAAGAGAAGATGGAAGATGTGGTTATTCAATTGAACAGCTTACCCAGATAATGTTACAGCACAGTCAGTCAATAAGGTTTTTAAAAAAATACATAGGAGTACAAATTCTATCATTTCCATTGATCGGTTTTAAATCACCAATTATTAACTGAAAGTATTTTAATTCTCTCTCTCTCTCTAATAACTTGTTTTCTGGCAGTGGTTGGAAAAATCAGAACAAAGTAGAATCATATACATGCAGATTTAAACAATGAACAAAGTTGAGGCAACCTTTGCATGCTTACATAGGTCAGAGTATGCTAACATGATGCTCTATACTAGAAACACAAAAAATGACTAAGGAAAGATTTCTGTTCCAGAGGAGTTGGGGATGTGGGGACATGGGAAGACAGATATATAAGCAATTAATTTGATAACTGTAGATGTATCAAGTTGCGTGGAAACACAGAGGAATTAATTGTTTATCCAGGCTGGATAGCTGGGAAGGAGAAAGAAGAAGCATCATGCCGAAAAGCACAGAAGTCTGCATGTTTATATTGTTAATCTGAGGATGGCAGATCATCCAGTGTGCCTGCCTGCAAAATGACGTGTGGGAAAGAGAGATGGATGAAGACCCAAGTGATGAACTATGAAGACCCAGGAGGCCAGGCTCAGGGGTCCTTGCTTTATGGAAAGGATAAGATGTAAAAAGAAAAGTGGTCAAGAAAATTTATCACTGAAGCTCTCTCTCACTGGTGAGTAGACTTATAAATTGGTTTTGATAAAAATACTGAATTTGATTAACAAAAATGCATTAGTCAAAAATATCTACTTGATATGAAATATTTACTGACAAATGTTTACATCAAATCTTATTTTATATTGGACTACATGGCTTTTCATTATTTACCCCCAAGCCCTGCAGAATAATTTACTTTCTACTTTCAAGCAGATAAAGGTTTATTTAAAAAATACTCACAAATTTACTTTTCCTGACTGACCAGTTTTGTGACATTTGCACATGAAAAGTGAAATGAAATAAAATGTTTGGCCGCAACAAAATATTTTTTCCACATTTAGCTTTTGATAGGAAATTGACATGGATTATTCAACAATTATATACAAAGTTGAGGCAGCAAGATATTCATGGGGAAAAAATTCTCTTTATCAAGAAATGTTAAGCTCTTAAGGGAAATGAACTTATGTTCCAAAACCATACCTTTGTCCTAAAGAGAATTTGAAGAATGTCAATTTTTCCGTAATGAAGTTATCCATAATTTTAATTACTTCATTAAAAGGTTTCCCATGATTAGGAAACATGAGAGCATTTAGAACAAGATAAACTGTGAAGTTTCCAGGAAGAAAAAAAAAAGTGCTTTCCTAGATATTTGAAAACTCTTGTGTGCACAGGCCAAGCTTTAGAGGGAAATTTATTCAGATACTTAAAGTGGTAAGTAATCCTGCCATGAAAATATGTTTCATTCCAAAAAACATCACTGTTCTTGTGGCAGTTTGGAACAAGATTAAGTACATTTTAATTTAAGACAGAAATATTTTGATTGAACAACCAAATCCTCTCTCCTTTAAAAAAAAAAAAAGATGGCGGGAGGGAGAAGAAAAATGTTCAATATATCAGAACAAAGTAAAGTCAAAGACCACAAAGATTTATGTATAAAAGGAAAATCTTCAGCATTCTTTTTGCAGCTGTAAGGAGCGCTAATGTGAATTTGGACCTTTGCCAACGTGCTTGCCATCGGCAGTGGTGCTCTGTGTTTAGACATGTGTGCCGATGGGTAGGATTCATTGACTGTTACATCAAGGGTCACACCTCACACACCCAGCAAGTAAGTGCAAGCCTCGCACGGAAACAAAACACAATCACACTCAGAAACTACCTCCTAGGTATCTGGTCTGTCTTAGTTTGTGTCCTGGGCAGAAAGCTTCACTACAGAACTCCACTGTCAACCCAGACCTGGTAACCTTCCTTTCAACAACAATTTGGTGCCTTCTGTGCTTTGGGTGTTGAGGAAAAAGCTGTAAACAGCACACACAAGGCTCCTTCTCTCAGATAATTTATAAGAGACATTAATGAAATTGTACAGAAAGAAATAAGATAATTACAGGTTGTGACTATTGCTATGAAGAAAATCAACAAAGTGATGATTAAGAAAGTAATCAGGGCAGAGGCTGCTTTAGAGAAAGTAGTGAGGAGTCAATAAAAAATTACAGACGAGTCAAAGACCTAAGGATGAGACTGTGCTAGACATCTAAAAAGCCCTTAGGAGAAGAATTCCAGGGGAAGGGCAAAGCCCCTGAAGGGGAAAGGACCTTTCATTTATTCAGTATATATTATGAGCGTTTTCTAAATGCCAAGCTCAATGTCAAGTGTAAAATTCATGTCCTTGACCTAACAAGGCATTTTGGAGAAGTAGAGGAGACGCATGTATACATTCTATTACTTAGGTTTAAGTGAGTCATTGGTGAGTTAAGAGGGTGACAGTTGGACTGAGAGGTACAGGAAAATGATACATTTTATCTGGATTAAGGGAAGAGAGGAAAGGCAGCCAACTAGGAAAGAGTTAAAAATATTTACAGCCTAAATGTCCATCAACCGATGACTGGATAAAGAAGATGTAGTATGTTTCTACAATGGAATACTATTCAACCATAAAACGACAACATAACACCATTTGCAGCAACATGGATGTCCCTGAAAAATGTCATTCTAAGTGAAGTAAGCCAGAAAGAGAAAGAAAAGTACCATATGAGATCGCTCATATGTGGAATCTAAAAAAAAAATGAACATAAATACAAAACAGAAACAGATTCATAGACATAGAATACAAACTTGTGGTTGCCAAGGGGGAAGCGGGTGGGAAGGGACAGACTGGGAGTTCGAAATCTGTAGATACTGACAGGCATATGTAGAACAGATAAACAAGATTATACTGCATAGCACAGGGAATTGTATACAAGATCTTGTGGTAGCTCACAGCGAAAACAACGTGGCAATGAATATATGTATGTTCATGTATAGCTGAAAAATTGTGCTCTATACTGGAAATTGACACAACATTGTAAAATGACTATAACTCAAAAACAAAAAAAAATTGGTGTGCTAACAGGTGGTGCTGTTTGTTTGAACCAGCCAAGGAGTAGGCAGGTTGAGTAATTGTTTTCTGTAGCTTCATTAAGACCACAAAGAAACAACATAATGACCAGTCATATATTTAAACTGTCTGACAATATCCATGACAACAGCTTGCCCCGAGTTCACCATTTCGGAGAGACTTTTGCTCAGATACATTTTGGTAGAACTTACAGTCAAGGAAGACCTAAGCAAAATGGCACATAGCAAAGAAACTCATGACTTGATAGCTTTTGTTCAGTCAATTTCATAGGAAACGCCTGGCCCAGTCAGGACTCATTATTTTGGCCATGTTCTGCGACTGCGGGATGGCATTGATGTCACTTATGTTTCAACTTAGCTTCTGTAGCTCTCTGTCATTTGAGATAGCTTGAACGTGAATCAGATGAAATTGTCTAGACTCCCCTTGCCAATGGTGGCTGAAGACAAGGAGACTGACTAGCACATAAGGCTCCCGGGGAGAAACATGACTAACCTTCTCCCCTATCTTTTTTGTCTCAGAGACCAATTTTGCTGAAGAAATTCAGAAAATGGCTAATTTTATCATTTAGAGAATTCTGATCCTTCTCCTCATCTAGCTTTTCCCAGTGAGAACCCTTAAGCACACAGGCATTTGTGTGAGTCACCAACTTTACTGAAGACACAGATAATGAAAAGGGAGGCTACACCTCAGCTTTTTACAGCTGATTATCTGTGGAGTTGAATATTCAACTTTCTGTTTCTGTGGAGTCTCTCGGGCATTTCCATCCACTCAGATTCTAAGCTTTTGCACCATTTCTTGTCTCTCTTCTCTTCTTCCTTTTCTGCTGCTCCCACTAACTCCAACAAAATGCTGCAAAAATGCTTGCCAACGTTACTGTCAGTCAGGCTTGGCACTACCAGGGCGGGTGATTGCTGGGATGGTGTGACTCAAAAGGCTTGCCTGCCTTTTGAGTATAGCAGAGTATTTCTGTTATCGCTCAGACAAGAGCATTTGCAGTCCTCACCATTTCAGCATTCTTTTTTCTTACTCATGACCTCTGGAAGGGCTTTGTTAATCTGAGTCTGTTGCCTGAAAGAAGAAAACCCCATAACCAATTTTCACGCCTCATCAGCCATTACATTTTTTATTTTAAAGAGCAATGTAGTTCTCCAAATTGGTTGAAGACTGAGGACAGACAAGGAGTGGAGTGGGAGGGTCACACAGCTCGAGCTACTTCTAGGAAGGCAGTACGATCTATTTTGAGTCAACCTGGAAAGCTGGGATGAAAGTGAGAGTGTATTCAGATACTGGGCAGGGGGCTTTGCAGGCAGAGAGTAGAAGGAGGAATTCCAAAGAAGGATAGATTTTTGCACATGTGTGTGGCATGCACAGTGCAGAAGACAAAATTTGCTGGCTTTCCAATTTTGCTTAAGGCTGGCTCTTCTTATTCTGTAACTCTGATTCAGTGACCCTACCTGACCTTGGAGGTATTTTGCAGACAGACTGCCCTGTGATCTTGCCAAAGTGAAGAAGCTTGGTTAACTCTATGCTGTAGCTAGAGGCAGGAATCTGTGCTAAATGTGAAGTCTGCTGCCTTGCTGTTCATTTGCCCTTATGAATTTTCATAATCACTGTAATCTATAGTTTTTCTCCCCAAAAGGACTCAGTTGATCACTTTACCTCCTTGATATTGATTTACTTAAAATTCTAGTTTTAGAAGAGAAGGTTAGTCCTTAGTCTTCCCCAAAACAGAAAAAAAAACCAAAAACAGTTAATGAAAAATGTAAGGAGTCCAAATGATAGGAATACACATTATTTGGTATCTTTTTTATCTTCAGAACATTTCTTTAAACAAAGAATCATTAAGATCAAGATGTAATTTATGTCTAAATTTCTGATACTGCTTTTAGGATTTTAAAGTTATGGTAATTCTGTCTTGATTTTCCCATTAGGGTGTAAATTTGGGGAAAGCTAGTACTGAATTTTTTTTATTTATTTAAAGAAAAACAATCATTTCTGAATTTATGTCTAAAAATTTAAAGCATACTGAAAAGTAAAAAAAAAAAATAACAAAATAAAAAAATGCCTTGAATTAACTACTACGACTCAGGTAACTATGCTGATAACTACTCAGAATTATCCAGAATTACTAATGTATTGTTCTACTTCCTTCTAGTGCTTTTTCTATTCAGTCATATTAGTGCATATAAAACTATACATACTACCATACTTCTCTATGGTATATGCATATATGTTTATGCCTAAACCAATTTGTCATATGCTGCATAAATAGTTTTAAATGATGCTTTGTCACCTAACAATTTGTCATTGACAATGTTCAAAACCACGAATTTTGAGGCATCCAGGGGATAAGAACATTGGATACACCATATTTTATTTCACCATCCTATGTTTGTGGCATTCCAGTTGTTTCCAGTTATTTGTTATTAAAAATAAGGCTACAGAGGATATTTTTGCACAAAAATTTTCTACTCACTTTTGAAGAAATTACTGCGCCAAAGGTCATGAACAACTATTTTTTTGTCCTTTTATTGAAATATAGTTGATGTACGATATTGAATGTTACATGTGTACAATATAGTGGTTCACAATGTTTAAAGGTTATACTCCATTTATAGTTTTATAAAATATTGGCTATGTTCCCATATATATACACACATATATATGTATACACACACACACACACACACACACACACATATATATATCCTTGTGGCTTATTTTATTCCTAATAGTTTGTACCTCTTAATCCCCTACCCCTACATGGCCCCTGCCCCCTTCCCTCTTCCCACTGGTGACTACTAATTTGTTCTCTTTATATCTGTGAATCTGCTTCTTTTTTGTTATAGTCACTAGTTTGTTATATTTTTAAGATTCTGCATATAAGTGATATCATACTGTATTTGCCCTTTTCTGTCTGACTGACTTCGCTTAGCATAATGCTCTCCAAGTCCATCCATGTTGCTGCACATGGCAAAATTTCATTTATTTTATGGCTGAGTAGTATTCCGTATGAATGAATATTTTTAAATGATGTTTGGTGCATGCTTTCAAATTGCCCTCCAGAAGGGATGTATCAGTTTCTCCCTTTATAGTACTAGGTGTCATCTCATCGTATTCTCATTGACACTGGGGAATAGAGTGCTAAGAACAGCTTCATCAGTTTGCTAGACAAAACTGTCTCTGATTGTTTTAATGATTTGTATCTTTTTATCCCAGATTGCCACATCGGGAGCTCCATCAGATGTATTCTTTTTCCTTTCCTTTTTCTAAGCCTTGAAAACTAATGAGAATAGTTGCCTCATGAGGAAATTGGGATATACACGTATGTATGAGCATGCTATATACATATTAGTAATAATTATTGTTTTTAAGCCATATGGCAAGAGTGAGAAATCATCACTAAGCGAAAGTCAGTGGTAAATAACATGCCCCATGCTTGTTGTCCTCATCGGAAACAGAGGCCCTGGATGCCCGTGTTCATTTACTCAGCTCTCTTCTGATTTTAACCATGGCTGTGGTGGGCAGACCATGGAAGCTCAGACTCTCCTGTCCCTGCCCCGATCTTGCTGCGAGCACCTGCATCTGTCTCTTTGCCATCTTCCCCAGAGCCTTCTTCAGTGCACGGGTCCCCCAGCTGGCTCACGTTGGGAAACCCAAGGTTCGAGGAGCAGAGGAGGGCTTCATGGCCAGTGGGAGATGGCAGCAGATGGAAAAGTGTTCCAGTCTCTTACCTTTTTGGTAATCAGTTCTGGGGGGCGTTTCATGAGTGCATCCCAGAGGTCCTGGCAGAATCCCACTCTTGCTGCCTGTAGAAGAGACCTCAGTAAGCACCATCTACCTCATGGTTTTCCTCACTTTTGTTTCTTCATTTCTGCTTCCTAAGATCAGCTTCCAAATAAACTAACTGTGACCAGTCCCTGTCCTAGGCTGTCCTCTTAGGGGAACCCTGACTAAGGCATCGTCTCTTTCCCTTCTTCCGAGTAATGCTGGGCTTTCCCGCTTCCACAGTAGAACCTTCCGTTAGCTAACCCAGCCGCCCTGTACTCAGTGCGGCCAATGCCAGGCAGCACTGTGTGAGGGCTGGAGATGCAGACTCAGATTCCACCATTGTGGAGCTATGTACGTTCCGGTGGGGTGGGCAGCAAAAGAACACAACAGATGAGTCGTCTTCATAACTTCCAAGGAGAAAAAAGCAAGAGAGATGGGAAATGTCCGGGGGAAGGGGTGGGCTGTCATTTAGATAGTGTTCCCAGGGGAGAACTTATTGAGAAGGTCTCATCTGAGTAAAGATTGGAAGAAGGTGAGGAAGTAAGCCACACCTGCAGGAAAAATATTCCATCCACATGGACCCTAAGATGGAGGCATGCCTGGAGCATGGAGGATTTTTGTGAGGCCAGTGTGGCTGAAACAAGTAAACTTCGCAGACTTAGCTAAAATTCAGACTTCCTGCTCTAAGATAGTGTGGTAGGCAGAATAATATTCTCTTCTAAATGTCCGCGTCTTAATCCTAAACCTGTGACTATGGGATCATCCATGGCAAAATGGAGTTTGCAGGTGTGATTAAATTAAGGATCTTGAAATAGGAAGATTATCTTGGATTGTTTGGGAGGGCCCTAAATGTAATCACAGGTGTCCTTTCTTTTAAAACACCTTTATTATGGTATGATTCCTGTACAGTACACTACACGTTTCAGATGTACAATTTGATGAATTTTTATAGATGTGTACACCCATGAAACCGCTACCACAATCAAGGTAGCTAATATTTCCATCACTCCCCAAGAGGTGCAATTTTTGAATTCCCAATTTATCCCTTCCCACCTGCTTTACTCCTGGGAACCATAAGTTAGTTCTCTATGTCTGTGAGTCTGTTTCTGTTTTGTAGACAAGTTCATTTGTTTTTGTTTTTTTTTAGATTCCTCATATAAGTGATTTCTTTCTCTTTCTGGTTTACTTCACTTAAAATGATGAGCTCCAGGTCTATCCATGTTGCTGCAAAGGGCATTATTTTATTATTTTTATGGCTGAGTAGTATTCCTTTGTGTATATATCTATACACCACATCTTCTTTATCCAGTCATCTGTCAATGGACATTTGGGTGGTTTCAATGGTAGGAGTGTCAGGGTCAGAGAGAGATTTGCAGATCTTACATTGCTGCTTTCGAAGTTAGAGGAAGGGGCCATGAGCCAAGGAGGGCAACACCTCTAGAAGTTGGAAAAGACAAGGAAACAGTTCTCCCCTAGAGTTTCCAGGAGTGTAGCCCTGCCAGCACCTGGACTTTAGCACCATAAAACCAGTTTTGAAATTCTGACCTCCAGAATTGTAAGAGAATAAAATTTGTGTGAAGTCGTTAAGTTAGTGGGAATTTGAGGACCTTCAAAAAGCGATACAGCTGATTAGTGCTGCCCTTAGATCCAGTCAAGAGGACCGCTACACGAGGCCGTGTTCTTCAGAGAACTCCGCTCTGGAGGACCTCCCACCACAAGATGAAGGGTTCACAGGCCGAAGGGAATGTGCCCATCCGAGCCTGTGTCCTTCCTTTTTGGACCACAGCATCCTGGAATTACTGCTCATACAGCACTGAACTTAGTTCTCCTGCCTCTACCAGAGCTCAAGCTGGGTTCCCCGAGAAGGAAGCAGACTCCTTCCAAGGGGTTTAGCAGGCGGCTTGTTTAGAAAGAAGTGGCCTTGAGGTGGAACCTTGGGGAAGCTCAGGAAAGGAAGCAGAACTGGACAGAGGGAGAAATTGAGCTCTGTTGCAGGGCTGGCAAAAGCCTTAGCTGACTGCATGGGAGCCTTGCAGCTAGAACCGGGCCAGGCTGGGCAGGCCTGTATGCTCCCACGTCAGTCTGCTGTTGAATGTGAGCCATCCCTGGAATGAGCATGACCTTGGGGGAGGCATATTTTTGTAGCTGAGTGATCCTGAAGAGGCTAAACTAAAAATGATCTATCTGCCTGCAGCAGTCCTGGAAGATGGGGAAAGGAGTCCTTCATTGAAGGGGGTCTTGGTGTCACGTCACAGGGCCCACTTCAGTAGACCCCTCCCCAGAGTCTGTCATCATAGGAGGAGGTAACTACACTGGCACACAAACCCCTGCTCCCAAGTGTGGCCAAGGGGAGGCTGATGGCAGGGTGTGGGGTATCGCGGATGCGTTTACATTCATGAACTGGGATTTCTGCTCATGAAGGCCTTTGACATGTGGGATGGAGCTGGGGTAGGAAGGAAAACGGAGCAGGCCTCAGGCCAACCAACGACTGGGGGCTGGCTCTTCCCAAGTGCCGTGTTCTGGCAAAGTACCCCATAGGGCTGGAAAATTATAAATTTGAACCTGGCCTCCCAGGTTGTCATGCAGGAGTATTTGTCAAGGCAGAAGAGCAGAACCTATTTCATTTAACAGTTTATTAACTTGATTTAAAATCTTTAAATAGATGGAACAGGGACCTCTGTTTGTACTCTTGCCCTGAGCCCTGCAAATGTGGTGGGGGCTTTAGCTGACCGCCTATCCCTGTTGGATCATTTCCAGATACATTCAGCCGTGGAACTTCGCATGGCACGAGGGTCACTTTGGCACACCTTGTGAACTGGCACACAAACTAAAATCCTTAAATTTAATTTTGTATTATATTTTAGTTTACCTCTTTTAGGAAAAGATAACGGGGCATACAGAATTTCCCCTTGGGAATTACGGTCGTGTTCTTTTCACCTCTCCAAGTCAGTCATCCTGTCCCCATTGCCTTTGTTCAGACCCACGTGCTTTGGAGTAGCTATTTTCCTGAGTCGTTGTCCAGTGCCCTGCGGGCCGGTGGGAGCCGTGCTCGGAAGCAGTCACATTGTCATGGTGAGACAGACCCTCCTTGAGGGTAATCCAGGAGCAGCCCTCGCTAAGATGGAGAGACCTTCCTGGAGACATCTGTCTCTTGATGCGAACGGACCATTTCTCTTCTCAGCTGGAGTCCAATCTAATATAAGTGGTTTTAATAATGGGGAAAGGGAGCATATGTAACCCTCACACATTTGGATGATCTTTGCCAGGTCTTCAGCTCTGAGCAGAATAGCAGCTTAAGCCAAAGGTAACTGAAACTGACTTGTCCTAGAGGGCACAGCCGAAAGAGACGTTTTACTGCTCCTGAGCTCTCTTGGGGTGACCTTTCCTGTCCTTACTTAATCATGCAAGGCTGGCTTTTTTTTGAACCTGTGAGCTACCCAGAATCTTTCCAATAAGTTCTTTTGTTTACCTAAGGTGGCCAGAGATGCTTATAAGAAAAGAGTGTCACACGGTTCTTTCCATTTGGAATGCCTTCCCTCCACCCAACTCTATTTCCAGCTTCGCTCCCTACATCTAGCCCATTTTACTTTCTTGACTCAATGAGATGGTCTACTTTTTCTCCCTTAGAGTTCTTCCTTGCTGGTTGCCTGGTTGGCAAATCAGAAATTGCTCTAATTTACCACAGTGAACTTTCAACGTCAGAGCTATAGTTAGATTTTTCTCTCCTGGTATCTCTGCTAGCCCGATGTGATGATTAAATCTAGGAAACCAGAACTCACCGTTCTCTATGCTGATGTAGACGGCTGTCTTTAACCTTTGGTAAACCCATAAATTATGCAAAAAGCTAAAGAAAAGTTAGAGCAATGTTAAATTGTTCGGTTTCAGGGTGGTGTATCAAAAATTGATTGTCACAGCAATTCTCCCTAATAAACAGCAACAGTCCGACATGTGGGATACGACAAGAGTTTATTCAGCTTCCGGGTCTGCAGGGTCAGCCAGTCAGGCTTGGCTTGGGCTCATCTCATGTGTTTACTGTCAGCTGTAGGTTGAGAAGGGCTTTGCTGACCTTGGCTAGGCTCTCTTCCAAGTCTGGGTGGCTTCTGTGATGGCCTTGAGTAGCAAGACTGGGCAGCTCAAGTCTGGTCCTTTTGTCTCTCATTCTCCTCCTGATGCAAGAGGGCTGATCGGGGCATGTCCTACTAATAGCAGTGGCAGAAGTAAGCTCAGTCATGCAAGGGCCTTTCATGTCTTTGTTTGCGTCATACTCATCATTATCTTGTTGACCTAAGCAGGTCAAATGGCTAAGCACAGAATGGGAGATCACTTTGAGTTACAGACAAAGGTTGTAGACACAGGGAGGAGAGACAAAGTGGGGACCTTACTACCTTTGAGCTATCACAGGGGTAGCTTTTTTTTCCTTCTGCTTTTCTGCATTTTATGATCTTTCTACAAAAAAAAAACAAAACCAGAACCCCACAGCTGGTTTAATACAGAAAACTTTCCAAACTAGAGCAGATTGAAATTGATGAAAACTTAGAAATAATTCTCTGTATTATATACGTTTGGCTGTTCCATTGGCTAAATTACATAGTCATTTATTAAAATTTGCCAAAGCAGCTAACCTGCTTGGGAGCTCAGGTTATTCTCACATTGGATAAGTACATCTTTCCCTGTTTCCATTCTCTGTGGCTAGAGCTGACAATTAAATGCTGAAATTTATTTCTCTTGTAGATTTGAATGTACAAGTAATACTCTGGCTAGGATTAAGTGCTGTGAGCTGTCTTGCCAGGGACTGAACCCAATGAACTTCTCTATTTCTATAAGCTGTTCACAGTGAGTTTGGAATTCCATAAAACTAGAAGACAAAGCACCAGATTTTACTCATTTATCTTCTTTTTACATCAGCTTTTTAGTGTCCAAGAGATCATCATGTTTTTGGAAGGACACGAGGCATGTAATTTGGGTTTAGTTGAAGAAGTTTGTCATTTTTGCACTGTACCTTATAGCTGAAATGTTCAGACTCTGGTCGTGGAACAGAATTTACCATGACGTTGGTCCAATTATCAAGTTTGAAAGAAAGGCCACCTCATCAGAGAGATCTTTCTAGATTATCCTCGAAAATGTCTACTCTCTGCTATCTATCATTCTCTAGCTCCCTCTTCATAGTTCTTTCACACAGCTACCACCATTCATAGTTATTTAATTATTTGACATTTTGTTGGTTTGTTTTTCTGTCTACTTCACCTGAATGTAAGCTCCTTAATGTAAGCAGGGATCATACTTGTCCTGTGCCTAGTGGCCTTCCTCATGCCTAGCACAGTGCCTGGAATGACATGTGTATTATTTGAAGGAAGCGCCATTATAATTTAAACATTTACATTAAGAACCATATGTGTTAATTACCCAACTCATACTTTTTTAAACCTTGGTTGTAAGATAAAAGAAACAAGTGACACTGTTTTTTCTTTCTTGCTAAAAATAGACTGTTATGCATTCCTTCTAGAGGCCCCATTGAAAGTACTTTCAACATACACCTAGTTAATCAGAAGTGACCCCAACTTTTTGGTAGTGACAGTGGTTACAGTGTCAGAACAGAAGTACAGATGACTCTAAGAAATTCACGATGAGTCAGCTCTCTGGGACTCATGGGCACTGGTGTACAGGCATGACAAACTTTCCTGATTCTGAAGGAAATCTGTAACTTGGAATCTGCTCAATAAAATATTGCTCCACTGTATGGGCTAACCTGGGGATGTGTTTGTATGGGTGTATTTGTGTGATTAAGATTATGTGAAGAGAGATGAAAAGGTCACAAGCTGAGTGGCTTAAACATAGAAATTATTTCTCACATTTCTGGAGGCTAGAAGTTTGATCAAGGTGTCTGCAAGTTTGGTTTCTTCTGAGAGCCGTGAGGGAAGGATCTGTCCCAGGCTTCTCTCCTTGACTCTTAGATGGTCTTCTGCCTTTGTCTTTACATCTCCTTCCCTCTACATGTCTCTGTGTTTAGATTCCTCTTCTTACAAGGACACTGGTCATATTGAATTAAGGCTCACCTGCATGGCCTTATTCCAACTGAATTATCTCTTTAAGGGCTGTTTCCATATACAGCCCCATTCTGAGGTACTGGGGTTAGGACTTCAGTGTATGGGTTTTGGGGAAAGCACAAGTCAGCCCATGACAGCTGGTCTCCTGCAGAGTCATCCCTCTTGATATTGTGGAACCAGGGCCACAGAGCATCAAGGCCATGGCCCCATCAGCATGAGGAGTTCATCTAAGCAGGTGGATCCGGGCTGAGACTCTAAGTCCTACGAGTTCACAGAGACAGGGTCTTCTCAAAACCCTGCTGAGTTTCCCAAATCTGCTTGTCTGGTCCTTCCAATTGGTTCCTCAATGCACATCCAGTTGCCCTATATCTTCGTCTGCACGGGTGGTGACTGGATATTCTGCTTAGCTCTTGACAACCTTCTTTCCTTTGGGTGGAGGCTCTCACCGGGGGGGTCATCAGAATCACTTCACCGTTCTTCACTTCTAGAGCTTCTTCCATAAAGAGGAAAAAGAACAGGTATATTTCCAGTAAAACAAACAAAAAACATCAATTGAATCTTACTTTATCACCTCCCGAAGCAATAATAAAATAATAATGATAATACCATTTATTGACTATTCACTAAATGCCAAGCATAACTCTAACCAGGTAGATATCACTTCTATCCCTGCTTCTCAGGTAAGAAAACTGAGTCTTAGAATGCCAGAGCAGATTATTCACTAGTCACACAACTAGTGAATGGTTGGCATAGCACTTGAACTTGGTTATGCCTGAAACTTGAGCATACTTTGCTATATTGTTAGCTTTTCACTCCAAACTTACATCTATAACCAGTAGTCTCTTAACTCGGGTAGGCTGGTTTCTGGCCACCTTCCCCATTTTGCCAGACCGTTTGGAATCCCAGTATGTCTTGAGGAAAATCCTCATGATAGGACACAGCTGCTGGCTTCTGTGAAAGGTCCAGCCCTCAGCCTGCTGTCCCCCTTTACGTCCTCGCATCTGCTTCGCTGTCTCTTGTCCCACTGTCTGTCCTTTCCATTTTAAACATCATCTTCTAAAACACCGATCAGATTGTCAAGAGAACTAAAATTTTCATTGGCAAAATAATGAGTGTTTTGTGCTATAATCTAAAGTGCTCCCAGTAGTCAACTCTTAGGAAAATCTGGCTCTTAATGCAGACATGGTATTTGCAGCCCCAAATCTGCCCAATTACAGTACTGGTCATAGAAAAACCTTTTTAAAATCCACACCTCATAATATGCTATTGAGGGAAAATGCTTCTTACCAATTTTCATAAAATCTTGTCTTTTGCACAACAATAAAAGGCAGTTCTCCATTTTGCACAACAATAAAAGGCAGTTCTCCATTTCTCTTACCCTGTTGTTGAAAGCCAAGTTGTTTCTTATGCAGTAACTACTGCATTTTAAATAAGTACCACAAATGTATCCCATTCTATGCATAGAAGAATAGTGGTGTGAAAATCAAATTTTTGTAAGTGGAATTACGTTTGAAATACACAATGCCCATAATTACTTATAGGAGGTTTTTTTTCTGTTAGTAGAATATTTGTTTTATATAAATAATGGCTCAATATTCACCAATATAAATTCAGATACTTAATTACAGTAGTGAATTTGTTTTAAAAAGAAACATGTATCATGCACATATAAAGTACCTATAAAGCACGCATATTTATAACATAATTTGGTGAAGAAAAGAAACAATGCATGTTTCTAAAAGACACTCTTATTTCTAAACTTGTAGACAGACTGTTTGGTATTCAAAAAGTGAATGTATTGAATTCTTAAAAATAATATATTATTATGGCTTAAGGTGGACCAAAGTTAGCAACCATAAAAGAGGAAAACAGAAAACAGTGTTTCTTAGCTTTAGCCAGGGACCAATTTTATATTTTCAGTCAAACATTTCTATGTTTGTTCAACTTATTTCTTAAGAAGTTTCAACTTGTTTCTTAGGAAGTTTGACCTGAAGAATTTTGTCTTCTATCACATGTCATCGTATTATGTTGGTGTTACTGTTTAAGTTATTTTGAACCCTTTCCTTCATGAGTTAGAAGTTGAATGTCCTATTCCCTTTCTTTGAAATGGGCTCAAACTAAATCTCTGTTTTGAACTAAGACTAAAACTTTCAACACTGTATCCCACTAGTAGGGTTTCAGTGGGTTAAATAAAGGAAGAGGTGATAAATACAGTTGGTCCTTGAACAGCACAGGTTTGAAATGGCTTTTTTTTCTAGAGCAAGCACTGCAGTATCCATGATCTGTGGTTTGTTGAATGACAGAGATGGAGGAACTGCAAATACATAAGGCTGACTGTAACTTATAAGTTACATGGGGATTTTCAACCCCTGCGAAAATTCAGTTGTCAACTGTATATTCTTGTTACCACAGCAAATCTCTTTTTTATTATATGGAGTCTGATTATGAAGGTCAAATCAGGTAAAAAAATGAAAACTTCTTTTGTATCTGGAAAACACAAAGCAAACATACACTTTTATTGTTCTTAAATGATTAGAGAGTATACATTATATTATCTTAACTTTATTATAATGGGAATTTGCATTCATTTTAGTCTATGTACATTTTAGTGGGTTGAATTTTGAGGTAGCTTCCAAAAGATATATCCATGTCCTAAAACCGAGAACCTGTGAATGTGGCCTTATCTAGAAGGAGGATGTTTGCAGATGTAGTTAAGTGAATGGTCTCTAGATGAGATCACTCTGGATCTAGATGAGATTATCTGGGTGTGCCCCAAATCCATGACAAGTGTCCTTGTATCTGATGGGATTGGGCATGTTCAGGATGGCTTGGCTACAGACAAACATCCTTGTATCAGAAGAAAAGACACAGGACTCAGAGAAGGCCATGCAAGGACAGAGGTAGAGATTGGAGAGATGCAGTCACAAGTCAAGGACCACCTGGAGCCACTAGAAATTGGAAGAGGCAAGGAAGGAGTCTCCCCTAGAGCTTTCTGAGGGAATACAACTCTGGATTTCTGACTTCCGGTCTCCAGAACTTTGAGAGAATAAATTTCTGTTGTTTTGAGCCATCAAATTTGTGACAGTTTGTTATGACAGCCCCAGGGAACCCATACACACATCATATAAGCAGAGACCAATAGGCTAAGGAAAATAAAAATGCTCCATTGTTGGTTCTTCATGCTGGACAATGAGGAAGGAAATAAGCCATTAGGAAGTTCATCTCTTGCATTCTCCACTGAAAAGAGAACTCTGATAAGTCTTTCACCTACCTCTGCCAACAAGATGTAAAATCCTCAGTTGTTAATTTTTATTGAGGTATATAGCTTACACCCTGTAAGATATCGCAGTGTCAAGTAATATATTTTTACATGTATGTTTATGTATTAATGTGCTTTGAATTTCTACACACACACAAATTGTGTAACTGTAACCACTACCCAGAAGAAGATACAGAACGCTTCCAGCAAACCAGAAGGTTCCCTTGTGTCCCATCCTATCAAAACCCACCTATCCACAATTCCCTCCCAAAATAAATATTCTGACTTTTTCAAGACTAATTTGTTTTACCAGTTATTAAACTCTAAAAATGTTTTGAAGAAAGATGTTTTATAAAAACCTTCTAAGAATATAGGTTGTACTCAATTCTGTCGTTTTCCTCATGACTAGGTCGTTAAACATCATTCATATTCATTGTATTAAGCAATAGTTCTTTTTCCTTTTAACTGTTATGTATTTATTCTACTGCTGATGGACATTTGTGTTGTTAGGTTTTGGTAATAATGAAGAAAGTTGCTAAGAATTCTTGTTTTGTTTTGTTTTTTTTTAGTGGGCATATGCATTCATTTCTCTTGGATATATATGTAAGACTGGAATTATTTGGTCATAGTAGGCATATAGTTTTAATAGACACTATCAAGTACTATTCCAAAGCAAATTTATTGTATCAATTCACACTCTTACTAACAATCTATGAGAGTGTCACTTGATCCCTGTCTTTGCCAACACGTAACAATGGTTAGCCTTTTTAGTTGTCATTCTGGTAGGAGGTTGGTGGTATCTCATTTTGGGTTTCAATTTCACTTCCCTGTTGAGTAATGATGCTGAGCATGATTTCATATGCTGCTTGTCAATTTTGATAACCTCTTTCATGAAACACCTTTTCAAAGTTTTTGCCTTTTAAATTTGCCTCCCTTTTTTGAATTAAAAAAAATTTTTTCTATCTGTATTTGGGCAAGTTAGGGGCAGAAAAACTCACTCCTTCATGGACAGAATTTAATTTTTTGTGTATTGATTTATTCCTAGAGAGCTGTAAACCTTGCTGCATTTTGTGTTCAACTTTATACACACTGTGGATTTTGACTCCGGTTCTTCAGTTTTCCTGAAGAACTTTCAGTTTTCCTAATTCAAGCATTAGTCCCCCAAATGCTTATTGTTATATAGTTTTTTTTTATCAGAATGCACAGTCTTTTGGATGGGTATATAAATTATATATTCCTGTAGGTCAGTTATTAATTAAATATTAATTTACATTAATATACTTATTTAATAATTAATATTACAGCAATAATATTATAATAATAGTAATTAACAAGAGAAGAGAATAGAATAAAAAATTTATATGCAGTTGGACACCCAAGATTAGTGGTAGAGTCTCTCCCCAGCCACTCAGATTTCCATTTTTCATTCAGTTGTATTTTGTGACCTCTGTAGAGAATGTTTCATATTTTTCTACTTTCAAATTGTTCTTGATTTATTTTCTTAACACACCATAAATGTTATTAGAGAAAAAAAAACATTGTAAGTAATTAAGAGAATAAACTGTTTCTTGATGTGAGAATATCATGGTGTGTATTTCTGCCCTGGAGCCAAGAGACCCATCGACTGTTGAAAATAATGTGTTCACAACATTCAGTGTTATGTATTATAGAAAAATAAACTTCTGAGGAATAAATAATTTTCTTTTAAGATTAAAATGCTTTCTCTTCCTAATTAAAAAGGTTGATACTAAAAAGCCAAATTGCTTAGCTTCTGGATTTCTGGTGTTGTTTTGTTGTTTTAATGGGAGAAAAAGAGAAATTGCCCAACGTTGGTTTAAGCAGATGGCCTTATCTTGGAAACAGTCATAAGATTTTAATAGGAAGTGTAGAACATTAAAAATAGTATTTTAGGTTCTACTTTCTTGGGCTTGGTTAGAGGACAGAACAATTACACAGTGGTTTTATGAGCACTCCTGATGTGTAATATTTATTTTTATTTGCTCTTCATTTATATTTAGTGCATGTTGTAAAACTACGTAAGGCTATCAAGTAACTTTAGAAGTTATAACGGGAAACAATTCTTAACGAAGATTTTTTTTTAAAAGATTCACTTTGAAGAGTATTAAAGATACATTCAGCTGAGTAGAGCAGCCTCTATGCATCATAGATTTAATTCAGACACATAATAAAACCTTTCCATGTGCTTGCAGAAATAACACAAAGATCAATAACCTGAAAGGAGCTGGAGGAATGAAAACACATGGTAGATGGGGCTCATTTTGTATGAGACAAGAGAAGGAATATTTAAATCTTAGTGACAAATTAATGTGGTCTGCTTTACATTTTGCCTGCTATATTACCAGAGAGTTGCATCTGTTCCCAGAATTTTAATCAAAGCCACTGAAGGAGAAAAGTGGACATTCAGAAAAATGAACCTAGCAAATGACTAAGGACTTTCAGCAAAATAATATATTCTCAGTGGTCTGTTATCTCTCTCTATTTTATAGGGACCTTATCTTTGAGTTTTGTTGGGCAACTATATACCTACCGAGCCTGTGAAGTTATGATAAACGATGATAACATCATGATACCAAGAAAACTTTCTTAATTTTTACCTTTGGAAAATGTTGGGATATAGAACAATAGAAAAACTCATTTTTGATATAATTGGCATTGTAAAAATACACAGTTAGTGGAAATCACTCTAACGAGGTATTTAAAAGTAACATATCGGGACTTCCGGGCAAGATGGCGGAGTAGAAGGACGCTTGTAAGTCACCCTCTCCCACAAATACACCAAGACCCACATCTACAGACTCACTCAGCCAACCAGAGCACCTGCGGAACTCCGACAGATCATCG